GAATAGAATAGAATAGAATAGAATAGAATCGGTAAGCGACATGTTTTGGAATAGCACACATACCATCTGTCAGATATCAGTGAAATATTACAGGTGTCATGAGAATCACACCTGTATCTGTGACACAACTATGCAAACAGCACACACACACACACACACACACACACACTCTCTCAAGGGAGCAGTTAGGAAACTAGCCAATCAGAAAGGCTTTCTGCCTGTCAATCATTTCTCTGGAGTTATTCATTTCTGAGAATCAGTTCGAACAGTCTGTTTCAAAGAATCCATTTAAAACACTGATTTGTTTGTTAAAGTATTTTAAAATAGATATCAAACTGGTTAATTTAATTTATAATAAATAAAAGTATTTAAACACATGACCATTCAAAAGTTTGGTCTGTATTTTTTTGGGTAGGGGGACATTAAAAGACATGACAAATAAACCTTCAAATATTATAATTCTTTGAGTACACTTATTTATAAAAAGATATAATGCATTGCAACGTACATTATGAATACCTTTATAATGCATGCAGCATTATATTTAAAAACTTTAACGTTTTACCAAGTTTTTATGTTTTTGATAGAAGTCATAGAGAAATACAGTAAAAACTGTAATATTTTGAATTATTTCAATTAAAAAATAAAAAATAAATCAATTTGAATATGTAATTTATTCCTGTGATCAAAGCTGAATTTTCAACATCATTTCTCCAGTCTTCAGTGTCACATGATCCTTCAGAAATCATTCTGATATACTGATTTGCTGCTCAAAAAATATTTCTGATTATTATCCATGATGAAAATTGTGATAATTTTTTCAGGGTTCTTTGATGAATAGATCAATAATGAATAGTTCAAAAGAACAGTATTTATTCTATTTTAAATAAATACTAAAATAAAGAAAAGTCTTACAGAGGCACAAACTTTTTAATGGTAGTAATGTATACCAAAAAGACTTCCGCTATAGACAGAATATCGCATAACCAATAATGTATTACGATATGATCTTAACAGCTATATCACCAAGCCTAGTTGTGAAACGTTCTCATCATTTTTGCCTCAATCAATCATAGCGCGCTTTTATAACAAACAGCCAATGATATGCCATCATTGCAGTGCATAGTGTGAATAAATGTTTGTGCTCATAGATGTCAAGTAGAGAGAAGTCAAGTCTTAAAGACTGAATGAGAATCTGAGGTGCAGCATATTGACATTTCCTGACTCTATAATGGTCAATGGTTCATTTTAATGGTCAAATCCCTATTTTATACGTGTCCACATAAACGCTCTCATAAAAGACAGACGATTTGAAAACTGCTGGTTGGAATCTACAATAGGTAGTAATTATTAACACCCTGAAATTGTCCTTTCTAATCATTAAGTCAGCCAGAATGACTCTGAACTAATAACCTAAACGATCTAACAGTCTAGAAATTCAGCCAAATGGAAAACATTTCCCTTTGAGATTAAAACAGCATGTAAAACATTTTTATTGAAGGCAGGCAGTAACGAAGGCAACACACATAGTTAACAAGGCAGCGGACTAAACCACACCGAGCAGATATCCACGGGATCTTGCT